TTTTCAAAATTATTTTTTTTTAAACGGCAACTTGAAAATTCAAATCATTGTTAGCTTTCCTTTTATTTTAAACAAGTGCAAATATGTACAATGAATAAAATATTAGCACAGGTTAAAAGAGAGTAAAAGTTTTTAAAGAAATAACTTAAAAAATATAAAAAGTAAAGTTTTTTTCAAGAAACCTTTTTCAATTTTAAAGGCTATAGAAATATTTACAAAGGAAATACAAAACTTTGGCTTTATAATATAGAAGTGTGTGTCTGTGTGTGCAAGAGAGAGTAGAGTTTTGCCATTAATTAATAAAAGTATATGCTGACTAGGACCAAACCATGACAAACCAAAACAAATCATATATATCTGTAATAATTACTTTTACTTATTTGAGCCAGCATAAACAAAGCAAAGTGACTTTTTGGGTGATCATCACGAAGTAACACTCATTACTTAATCAACATATATACTCTGTAGCTGTAGAATACTTTGTGAGAAATCTTTTAGAGTATAGGTACAATTATATGCACCATTGAATGTATGGAAAATCCAAAATACCTAAAAAATACAAGACTAATCAGGCAGATGGATCACAATATAACTGTATGGAAGATAAAAGATTCAATTATATTCACATTCAGCCAATTAATAGACTACGGCATGCAATAATCTTTAAAAATATCAACGACCATTAAGGTTTACTCTTGTTTAGTATGTTATAAAACCTAATAGAAGAAAAATTATTTTTTTGAATTTGTTCTAATTTTGGTTTAATCAATTTTTAGTTTTTAACTGATTAAATAAGGAAAAAAATTACTATTCTTGACTATGAGGTCATATTCAGAATTTCAATGAATTTGAACAGCAAGTATAAATGAAACATATGGACTTTTTTTTTTATCTTTGTATCAAGAGTACCTTTTTGGATACCAATATACAGACAAAAGTTAAAGAGATTAGTTCAAAAGAGACTGTTGAAACTAGTTGTTAGGATAAGTGAGCATTTTTTTTTTTTTTTTTTTTTTTTCATAGTCAAATTCTGCATGAAGGGTAACATTTTGTGTGTAATTTATATGAAGAAATGAATCTAGATGCATTTTGCTGATGGGTTGCTATACAAAAGAAGAATCTGTTTAATTGGGTCAATGGAATACAGAATGGCAAACACAATGTGTGTGTGTGTGTGTATTATATATGTGTATGTGTATATATATATATATATATATATATAATGTTTGTAGTAATAAAGATATATATATGGGTAAATAAAGAGTAAAACAGATTAGATGAAAAATTTAAATTTAAAGTTATCCTCTTCATAAAAAGCAAAAAAAACATTTATTATTTAAAAATACAGTCAACAATGGTCTCAAATGAAAAATTAGTCCCTTAAGTGACATTATTTAAAATTGATTCAACAGTTTCAAGTAGCCATTGCTACAATGCCTTATTTTTGTTATAGAAACTTGTAAAATAAATAAAATGACTGATTTGGCAGAGTAGGAACTTTCTATTAGCAATGTAATCAAAAACAGTAGAAAATTAAGAGGAAAAAAAAGAGAAAAAAGAGGGAAGGAAAATGAATTGGGAGAAAAAGGGAAAGGGAAAGGAAAAAAGAAAAAAATAATTAACTTTACATATTTAGATCATATGAATGTTGAGTAAAAATAAATAAATAAAAAGGATAGAGATGAAGCAACAACAACAACAGACAACAATAGTAAATTCTTGATCGCAGAAATTAGACTATTATTTAAATAATCTTTTACACAGGAATATTTATTTGTTTTTTTAGAGGAGAATTCAAGCATTATGTATTTTTACCTGAGGACATAGTACAAGGGAAATTGATGAATATTGTGTTATTGTTATTGCTACACTTATAATCCAATGTGTGTTTCAGGTCTCAAGGTTAGAATGTCATTTGAAACTTTAGAACACAGAATTGGTAGAGAAACCAGAATTTGATTTTAACCAATTAATGCTTTATCTTTTGAATATCAGGAATATACACAATTACTTAAAATATTTCTTCAAATGATAATGATTCTTAAAAATATGGAAATCATCTGAAACTTGGTAGATTTTTATATCCTTCTACATAATTAATAAAAAAGAAAATTAATTTCACTGTTAGAACGAGTTATTCAGAAAATTTTCAGACTTTTTCTTTCTTTTTTTGCATTAAAAGAGATGCTGATGAATCCGAATTAACAAAATAAAATGTTTAGCATTTGTATTTATTTCTTTTTATAAGATAAAATTTTTTTTAAGTTTTTTATTATTATTGTTGTTTGGCTTACCCAGAACTTTTAGGAACTACATTTGAATCGCTGCTTACAGTGGTTTGACTTATCGAGATAGAAAATATTTCAATTAAGAAGTAAATAAAAAAAAAAAAATGAATAAAAATTTCCATAACTTGTTAAATATTTTGGTGAAAAATTAATATTTAGAAAATCTACTGAACTTGGCCTGACATACTCAAAAAAGTTTCACTGAAGCTATAGTACCTTTTCTATTTTCAAATTATTAAATAAAAGTGATTTCTTTTTAATTATCAAATTTGGTACATAATCCTGTAAGATCTTGATTGAATCTATAGTAATCTACAAAATAACAAATTCCAATTTCCCATTAGTCTTAATTTTTAGTACTATTTCCATTATCTTTATTATGGAAAATCTAAGATTTTTTGAAAAAAAAGTTTTTATCCAAGCTGACTGCAATAGACAGAATTTATCACATTATATATGAAAAACAATACTTAAATGTTACTACTATCTGTGATTAAAAGTTTCACATGGATGTAAAGGTGGTAATGTTAGTGTCACACAATCCTCAGGTGGTAAAAAACTAATATTCATAAAAGAATGGTATTCCCACAGTTTAAATTACCACCTTAATAGCAATGACATTTAAGCACTGTTTTTCATATTTTATGCTTACTCTGTTTTTGTATATATTCTTTATATCATACACTGAGCACTGTATTTGTACTGTCTATAAATGTGTATATATTTTGTGTATTTAGGCAGCAGTTTTGTACACATTTCATTGAATATGACAGACAAGGTGCTTTGATTCAGTTTTTTATACAATTTCTCATGTGATCTAATATATTTTAATATATTTCAACCTTGAAAATAGCTAAATGTATAGCTGAAAGTGCTCGGATAAAAGGAACAATTGGACAGTTTTTATATGATTTATTATCTGAAAAGAAAAAAAAATATTAGATCACATTAGAAATTGTATAAAAAACTAAATCAAAGCACCTTATCTATCATATTCAATGAAATGTGTATACACACACACACAGTCAATGACAAAGTGGGAGAATTTTTTTTGTGTGATTTTTGTACTTAACAACTTCAGTGGACTAAAGTGATGTTATTGTCTTGGTATATAAAAATTTATATATCTTTTTCCTCATATAGTCAACTTATCTTTATGAACAAAGTTAAAACAAAGCTATGTTAGATTCTTTATATATTATCTCTGAAATAAAATTGTATTGAATTAAGTATATGATATATTGTTAAGTGAACAAGAACCACATACCAGAAAATTAATTTAAGTTATACAATAGATTTTCAAGCCATTGCAACACAAAGATATTTATGAATAAAATGCGCATACTGAAAAGAGTAATTCATAATTGGAATAAAGCATTTGTTATTTTATTGTATTGATAAAGATTTTTGGGGGAAAAAGTATATATTTTGTTGAAATTTTATTGCTTGTACAGTAACAAGTAATCCAAAACAAGGACTGCGTTTTTGTTAAAGTTTTAAACATGTGATGTCATTTTGTAGCTTTATCTAAAGTTGAGATTTATAAAAGAAAAACATTCACAAGATTGGAGATGTGTAAAAATGCAAAAACACATCATGCCAACTTTTTAGGTTACTTCAAGTATAAACCAAATAAAAAATAAACATGACAATTTCTTTACCAGTGTATGAAGGCCAAATGAAGAGAAATGACACTGCATATTAACTCGAGAAAAGAAACTCGCTTCAACTTTGGTTTCTTTTAGTAAAATGTGAGTACAATCTAATTCTTGATAATAACTTGGCATGCACACCACACACATATATATATATATATGACATTTCTTATTACTATAAACATTATTTTTAGTGAGTACATGTGTTTTGAGGTATAATTTTTTTTTTCTTTAATAAAACTTCTTAATTTAGGTTGGTTATCATTAATTTCACTGTTTAATAAACAAAACAAAAATGGAATAGCAACTCAAACATGTGAACCCTCTAAAAGTAACATTTATAACAATATATATATATATATATATATATATATATATATATATATAGGTGTGCATATGTATGTGTGTCTTAGTGCCCCCCCCCTTCTTTTCCAAGAGAAACTATAAAATGATGAGTATAGCAGTGGTTCTGATGGAAGACTTTTTGAGGTTAGAAACAAATTACTCAGATTCTGACTTAGGAATTCCAAATAGTTTGAGAGGATACAAAATACTCCCAAATTAAAAAAAAAAAAAAAAAAAAAAAAAAAAAAAATTATTACTTTTCTTTAAATTTAATTTAAAAAAAAAAAAAAATTGAGAGAGAGAGATTTTGGTCCAGACATCCAAAAATCCTCTTACAAAAATCATGAAAAAGATAAAAGAAAAAAAAAAAAAAAAAAAAAAAAATTCAGAGAGTTCATTCAGTATCTGTTCAAGACAGTTGCAAATACTTATGCTGTAGAACCACTCAAACACATTCAGCATAGCAGAGCTGTCATTGAAGAAGATTTTCAGACGAAAAGAAAAAGTATTTACAACACACAATTATTACCATTGTTATAGCAACCAGACCTTTGTTACATCTGGTGAAATTGTCTTTATGAAGAATTTTGTTGCAAAAGTACTGCTGATCATTATAATCAGTGTTAATATCACACAGTAATTAGCTGTGAAAAGTTCTGTTGATCGTGAAATCCTCTAATATACAATCACAGACACTCCAGTCACTGTGGCATCATTCCCAACTTTCCCAGTCTTCCTCCTGAAAAATACAATTATTTCATATAATCTTTAAAGCTATTTTCAAATTACAACAAAAAGGGAATTCACATCTTTATTTAATTAATTTCATTATTTGTTTTAACAAATCGCAACATCTATCAGAGAGATGAAATTTAAATTTTTATTATTACATTATTCCAAAATTTTAACACATCAGCAGATAGATATTAATGTCAACAATTGAGCACAAATAGTTATTAATTAAAAGAATTAATAATTAATGTATAATTTTAAATGTATTAATTAATAGAAAATAAAAGTAATTCATATTACTAAAATTATAGAAACAAATTAAAAATCAGAAGAGTCAGATTTGCTAGTAGTAGAGAGATCTGAATCGGAGAAGATATCTTCAGATACATCTTCATGTCCTTCGTTGTTTATGTCCTCATAATATAAATTAACCATTTTATAGCTTTTCTATTTTTGAAAAACAAGCCATGGCAAACATTCAGCCTCCCACATCTGACCGCAACCCCATATACGCAGGTAATTTCATTTTAGTTTTCCACAATAGCTATTTGTGCTATGTTAATGCTTATTACCTAAACAATAATAATAGTGAATAACTTTTTTTAAACATTAAATTATATTTAAACATCATTTCCCTGATAGCTGTTGTGATCTGTAAAGAATAAACATTTTTTTTAAATGTTAGAGTTCTGGCTAAAAATGAAAATAATATGACAATTATTTAAAAAGGTAATTTTTTTTTTTTTTTTTTAAATCATTTCACTCTAAGCAAAGTAATAAAAACCACTAAGATGCAAGGGGTTACTGAGAGTGAAAGAAACAGTGAGGACTATAAAAGAACAGGTTTTAATGATGATGGCACTGCATTTAAATTTTTGCAGATTGCAATTGACCGGAAAGCAGGAAACTGAAAGAATTCTACAAACAAGAAATATAAAAATGGAAATATTAGCATAGAACTTATGGTTACAAGCCACAATTCCAACAATGAAATTACACAACCAGAATTGATAATGCATAAAATTATAAAGTCAAGCTATTTTTTTTTCTTTCTCATAGCATGTGTATGGAGAGAGAGAGGAAACTTATAAATCTCCAACAACATTGTCCACTTTCCTAAAGTAAAGACACTGGTGCTGGCTCAGACATGTCATGCAAATGGACAGTTGAATATCCAAAGACTTTCTGTATGGATAGCTGGTTCAGCAAAAGCACCCTTTAGGCAGACTCCAACAAAGCTACAAAGATGTGTGTAAAACAGTTTTGAGGATGACATCAACCCAGACACATGGGAAGCTGTAGCTTCTGAACAATCATTCTAAAGGCAGGCAATGCAGAAAGACATTTGCCCAACGTTCAGAGATGAAAAAGCAAAGAAGGAAAGCTCCAAAGTCTGATATAGACAAGCATTAAATGTTGTTAGTAGGAAGTACAGGAGAGAATGCCATTCTTGCAACACAATTAATACTTCACATAAAAAATCATCCAGAGCACAACTCCATTGTCTGAAAAGACTGATAGATATGTCTAATGAATGAATGACTATCTTATTAAGCAAGCACACTATTTTGCAAATATTCACTACTCTCCTTTTTAAAGGCAGAAAAAGCCACACACCACCTCTTCATAAACTTAGTTTTTAAATGATTGATAAAAGACCTGGTTATTTCTGTTTATCCTTTGTTCTTAGTAAATAAATTTGAAGCAATATAGCACATGCAAATCATGCGGGGGAAAATATATACATAAATAAAATAAATAGATAAAAAAACAGAGTAGAAATAAATTAAAATCTAATTAATGATACAGTTGAAGCAAAAGATCAAGCATTCATGTGCTTATATATATATATATATATATATATATATATATATATATATATATATATATATATTAAAATAATAGGAAAGAACAATAAGATTTATAATTCAGAGTTCTTAGCATTTATTTTTAAAAAAACAGTGCTCAATACAACAGTAGAGCATAATATTCTAATTGTTTTTTTAAAAATATATTATCATCGCAACACTGGAATTTCCATGTTTCAAAACTGAAACTTCAATTCAAATTCAATCATAAAAATTAAACTTAAAATACAAAATTCCATTCTATTATCAAGCGATGCTAAGAATAACTTTTTAGAAATTGATTTACTTAATTTATAAGTCCAAACAAATTTGATATGAGATGTTGGGGTTAAGGAAATTCCATCTTTTTTTTTTATTTTAGGGGTGTTAAGATTTTAAGTTATTTAGAAAACTCATGTATCTAATGTATTGTAGCTATCAAGTCAGTCAAGTCAAGGTGGGGGCTGGGGTATCTGTCTATTGATAAGTAGAAATTTGTGGTAGTGTCTATGTTCCAATAGCAATACATTTGGCATTTTTATTTTTAATTTAATTTTTATTTTTATGTAAATTTCACTTACGATTTTTTCAAAAGAGGCATTCAAATATTATTTAGTCACATTTTTAATATTTATATTTTTATTCATACTGACTTAAGATATTAAGATATTTAATTTATTTACTAATTGAGTGCATATATGTTAATGTTAAAATTAATATATTAGAATTTAATTATGTATTCATAAACTATTTTGTTTATGATCAAATATAAATATGTTAGTTTCATTCTTTTTAAAAAAATTAGCTATTATTTATGGAAAAAATTTGGCAATATCTACAAAAACTCACTATTTCATTTCTTTGATTTAATAAATTTTTATTTTTCAGAAACTTAATTTTTAACTTTTCATGTATGCACAAAAGACAAGGATCATTTAAAGATCTACAAGTTCTTGATTTTTTTTTTATTTATTTATTTCCATTTTAACTTTTCAAGTAAAAATTAATTTTTCATAAATGAAAAATCTTTCAACTGTTTCAAATTACTGTGACAGTTCAAATCTTAAAAAACATCAAAGATAACAACATTTTTCCTGTCATTGCTCACTTCAACCAACTGTTTCAAAGCATTGATGACATCAGATGTGTGCTTTTAGTGTCTTCATTCAACAAATGACAAGAAAGACGCAGATCGGAGTTGAAATACTTCTTTGTTAATTCCTCATCTTGTTGAAAAAGGATACAGGCATGTCTGAACATTCTGACTTATATATATATATATATATATATATATATATATATATATATATATAGTACATGTAATTGATTTGTTGGTATATAATCTGGGTGGATCCTAGCAATATTAATTATTAAAACTGATCCACAGAGAGCTTATTATAACAGAGCATATGTATTTTTTACAGCAAAAAAACAAAATTTTTTGTTTTTTTTTTGCTCTTATATGTGTGTGTGTGTGTAAGTAATAATAAACAAATATCAAAAATAATATTGGAAATTACCTCCTTAGCAAATTGAGCATGGTGAGATGTTACATTTTAAGATTATGCTAAAACACATGTTTTAGCATAATGTTACACTACATGTGGCTCTGTCATAAGACATTGAACACTATACTTAAAAAAAAAAAAAAAATCAATGATAACCTGGATCTGATTGTAATTACAAAAATTAATTTTATATATATATATATATATATATATATATATATATGTATAGTGTGTGTGGATGTACTTTTTGTTCTAGTTGTCTGAAGATTGCAAAACTTGACTAATGACTTGAGATTTCCTTTTTTAAGTGCTGATATAGTGAAGCATTTTTTGCTCTGTCTGTGTAGTCTGAGCACTAACTATTTTTTAAGTAGATGTTTACCTTTTGGTCTTTCTATTTCCTTTCCTTGTTCAGAATTTTTTCTGAAAAATGATGAGATCATACTGCCAATTAAGTACTGTGCTTAAATTCATAAATCTAGGTACCATAGAGGAAAGTTCATCTGAACAAATACCATGGAAGTATTTATAGAAAAAGCACAAGTGAGATACATTATGGTGGGGGGAAACTAAATAAAGCTGAGACACCAGGTCAGGACCAATAACATTGCAGATACTTCTTTGGATTTTATCAAGAATCTCTAAAAATATAGCAAGAGCACTATACCAGATATGAAATGAAATATCAATGACAAGAAGGAAGATGATAAAGAACAAAATCTTACTTCATGGTCATCTGCAGTTTTGTAAAGTTCTTTGAGAGGGGATTTGTTTGTAATGTTTTTTACAGCTTCCTGCGCTTTCTTCAAGTCTTCCTCTGTGATATCAACATCAAAATCTTGTTCCCAATCATCATCGGGGCAACTGCTGGCAACATCTGATTGAGAAATGTATAAAAACAAACAGAATGAACAAACTTTACACAAAGTATAATGTATGTTTGGATACTTTTGGAAAAGAAAGGCCTTGTGCTAATTGGGATGCCTGAATAAATCACCACCATTTGTACAGTTCACCATTCCTACCTACCCAATCATATTTATTCTTGAATTCCTTCCAAGCTAATTAATTGAACTTATTTATCATTCCATTAAAGGCTTCATCTTAATCAATATTATTACATTTCATGTATTTCCATGTTTATACCAGTTGTCTGGTGTTATCTTCTTTTCATCAACTGCCTTTATTAGCATCTTGAAACAGTTTATGATTGGCATAATATGGTGCAAAAGATATTAAAAGTAAAGTTGCACATCAAAAAATATATATGAAAAAAAAATTTTTTCTTAAGATGAATGTGTATTGAAAGAATACTCTATGGTAAATTTACATCCAGGATGATACAAAATTTCTCTATTTCTCACAAAATTACTGCTGATGTAATATGGTATAAATGGAAAGCAAAAAAATCTGATCATTATTGATTTGATTTTTGCGAGAATTTCCAAATTAATATATTATTTTACTAGAAAAAAAAAAAAAGGCGCTAAAATTTCTGTATTCAGTTTTGTTGCACAGTTGATGCTTAAAAAAAATTTTAACCAAAATTTTCACCGTGTTAGAAAGGATTAAAAAATAAAAAAAATACTTTGGTCATTCCTCTTAATTATAACAAACATTTTGATGATAAAACTGTTTTTATTAAGGTTGGGGCCTTTTTTCATCAGGCTATGCTGTTTTTTTTAACAAAAAAGAGGAGGTACCTAATTTACAGACACTGGATAACAAAATTTAAATTGGTGATGTAAACTGTAACCAGCGTTCGTTGCATTTCTTCCCCAGCTTTTGTATATAAAATTGATTTCATCAATAAAAATGTTATTAGCCTGAAGAAGTTCCTGCTCAGAACAAAACTTGTCACTTAGTTTTTTTGTCTTTTACCATTATTTTCATTCATTATTTAACTTCTGTAATAGAATCAGGAATAAGTACTGAACCAATACTAATCAAAGTTTGTTTTTCTTTTTCGATGAATTTTAAGTACCGAATATTTTTTGTTCTGAGGCAAAAAGAGGTTTTAGAAGAGTCCAAATTGTTGAAATTAGACAATTAAAAATCATTACATTTTTAAAATGAATGAACATAGAAATCAAAAGCCAGCAAATCAAATGTTGTAAATTTTTACAGTACTAGAAATAGAAACTCATGTGAATTACAAATGAGACTTTCTTTTTATGAATTAAGTTGAATCTAAAAGATAATTTTAATTATGTGGAGACTTTTTTTTTTAATGAAATTTTTGTGTTCATGCTTTCTAATGAAGAAATTGCCAAAAGAATATATTCTGTTATGCAAAAAGCATCAAAACTTATAAGCAATAATTTTTAAAAATTTCTTTATAGAAAAAAAAAATTCAAATGAAACATTGGAAAATAAACCTTATTTTTTATCATATTACAATAAAAATTCAGAATAACTTTGATAAAGACTAGTTGTTTAACATCTTGTTGAAACAATATAAAATATATGAAATGCCCTCGGCATAAAAAAAAATTCACAAAAATCAAAATTGTTTTAGTTATTCTGCAGAGATGAAAATGGTAATTTAAAGAGAAAGGTATTCTGTCTGAAACAAAAATCTTACCTTTGAGTATATCACTTGTATCAGAACTTGGAGACCCAGCTAAAGAGCCTACAACTACCATATCTCCTTTACATGTTGTCTTGAGCTCTCTTGGTTTAGAGATGTCACTAATGGAAGAAGAGAGCGGACTCTCAGAAAGACTCTTCCATTCAATATTTGTGTTTGCACTGTCAACCATATTGTCATCAACATGGTCTTTCTCTGTCGTCAATGAATCTTCATTTAAACTGATACTTTCAGATGCATTTATTGTGGTGTAAGTTTCTTCAGATTTCTCTTCAGACAAGGACAAGGATTGAACCTCAGTGTTATTGTTTTCAGATGATTCCACTTTGGAGCCAACTTCTGTAACTGACTTTTCAAAAACAGTCACATCTTCATTCTGTGGCAAATCTAAATGCAGGTTAAAAAACATTGATTATTTTCACGTCATTTTTGTTAAAAAAAAACAAAACTTTTGACAACATTGAATTGCTTTTGAAGAGATGATTAGAAAAAACAAAACCAGAAATATTATAATGGAGAAGTAATGCCTCCATAAGTTATTCCCATCATGCGTTACCATTTTAGCTTATATTAGAGATTTCTTGATTGACATTATTTATATTTAGACTAATATCCCCATTTTTATTGTTATTATCACAACATTTTCTTGTGTCAATCATCAAAATATTGTGATAGTAACAATATTAATCCAAATGTAAATAATGATAATTCCTCCTCTGAGAAATTCAAACATAAAATTTCTGGTGCTGTTTTCTACAGGATGTAGCAGAAATACCTGCCACATACTGGTAAAACATTAGTGACAATGCTGTCTTCATCTAGCTAATGTCTTACCATTATGTTGGAGGCATTTCTGAAAGGTATATGTGGGAGTATTTCTGCCAAATTTTAATTTAAATAATGTTAAAAATTTAAACAAATGTCTTTAGTATTATAGAGTGATTTACTAGTGTCCTTATTTTGTTATAGGACACAAAATATTATGGAACATATGATGTTAGTGGAGAAAAATCTTGGTTAAGTGACACTAATTACCTAGTAGTCGAGTTCAGTCTTTGGGTTGGGTAATTACAAGTCATACATTGATTCATTGGAAGAAACAAGTAGGAAGAATTAATACAGTATATCCTTTAGCATGGACAGTGGAATGAGAACAATCCCCACCCCTGTAAATTGAATAAAAGGTTCAAGGAAAAATTCCCCCAAAGAAAGCTGTAAATGACAATAAGTATCCAAAGAGTTGAAGATTACAATAGCCAAAACAAATGATAACACTAGTATGAGTTGATCAGTGTATAATAATTACTTGGCTAGAAAAAAAATGTTTTCAAATGAGATTAATTAAAAACATTTCCAATAAACCTTTTTGTAATAATTATACTATTGGCAAACTTAGACTTTCATGTCCACAAAAAATGGAGTGTCAAAAGGACGATTTTTCCCTTGACACCACTGTTATTTTAACTACCTTCACTTCTCAGAAATATTTAGTTTTAAAAAGTGATGATTGGAATTGTAATCAAACCTAAACATATGAAAGTGAATTTATACATTTTCTTTGTTCTTGAGAATTTACAACAAAAATATGAAACCCTATTTATTAGATTGTTTATTTACAAGAATAATTTTATATTTACAACATTCTAAAATCTAACATTTAAGACTAATGCAATATTATTTACCAATTTATAATATAAAGAAATAAATAAAAAAACAACTTTTTATTCATAAATTTATAAATATTTACTAAATTATTAAAATATGCGAGATAAGGAAATTCTTATTATTTACCATTTTATAAAGTTCAAATCAATTGACAATTAGCCAATGTTTTGCCAACCATTCCAATAAACAATATAATAAATAGTGTAAATAAACAATCTAATAAATAAATAGTGTTTATTATTTTTGTTGTCAATTCTCAAGAACAAAGAAAATGTACAAATTCACTTTTATCATGCTTAGGTTTTATTAAAATTCTAATCATCACTTTTTAAAACAATAAACATTGCCGAGGAGTGAAGGTAGTTAAAATAATATCAGTGTCAAGGGAAAAAAATGTCTTTTTGAAACTGTTTTTTTGCGGGGGGCATAAAGGTTCAAGTTGGCTATACTATTAAACATTACAAAAATAACATCCAGGAAAGAAAAAAAAAGAAAAGAAAGATTTTGAAGTCACAGAAAATGAAAAAACATTCTATTTATGGTAACTTGATTTTGATCTTAGATAAAAACAGTAAAATATGTTTCAGTTTGAGTGAATACATTGTTTTTACCAATCAGAGGAATATTTTCAAATGATTGATTAAAAAAATGATTCATGACTAATATCTGTAACAGAAAATGGAGACATCAGAGTTTTATATTAGCATTTTATATAGCTGTCATTTTCTGCGGAAGTTTCTATTCCGGGGTTCCCATTCCTGAAAGTGTTTAGTGTCCCCTTATAAATGTTCATACATTACAATAACATTTTGCAATAATTATAATAATAAATGATAAACTAAATTATATTATAAATAAATAACAAAAACAATATTGAGAAAAGAAGTTTTTCTTTTTTCTTTCTCTGAGTCACAGAAAAAGAGAAACAAATTCTGTTCTATCTAGCTGGAAGGAAAGTTCTTGTGGTTAGTAGAACATTAAATTTATTTAGAAGCTGCAAGCTGCTGCCAATGTGTTAACGGCTGTTACTAAATTTATCTATCAAGCCTAAGATAAGAATGGCGAAACTTGGGCTCTGGCTCTAGATATCTCAAAGGTGTTTGGCATGCTGGCCTTCACCACAAGCTCAAGGGATATGGTGTCTTTGGATGAATATTTGGCTTAAATCTAATCATTCCTAACAAATATAATGAAGGTCATATTGAATGTACATGTTTCTAGATCATTTCATATTAATGCAGGGCTATATCCTTGGACCCATTTTGTTTTTGATCTTCATCAATAACCTTCCCAACGTCATCACTTCCCAACTAGGTATTTATGCAGAGGACATTTACTATTTACTCTTGTCTTAGTAGCAAGTCCAACAGATCGGACAAAGTAAAACTGGCAACTGCTCTTGAAAAGGACCTTGAATCAAAGGTTAACAGGGACAAGGAATGACTTGTAAATTTGAACATCTCCAAAACAAAACTGCTTTCATTTCATTTCAGAGAATCTTTAACATGGCTGATGCTAAACTCCAGGAAAACAGTACTTTGCACCTTTTTTGGGTTCAGGTTTTTTACTGACATGAAGTTAAGTAATTATATTGAATCAATTGCTAGGTCTACTCCTAGGTAAGTGGGTTCACTGTGTCGTACCAGACAATTTTTCTTGTCATAATTCATCTTGCACATTTATAAATCTATCATTCGTATGTGCATTGAATATTTCTACCATATCTGGTCTGGTACTAATACCATATATCTCAAGATTCTTGACCTGGAATCTCAACTTCAATCACTTTCCCCAGATGTGATGCAGCTTCCTTCTGTCTTCTACAAATATTTTCATGGCAATTGTTCTGATGAGCTTTTCTCCTTAGAGCCTTGACTGCATGAATTTAAGTGTGCTACTAGGTCTCACTGTTTTACTGTTGAAGTAGCTAAATGTAACAGTCTCTTCTATTCTAATAGTTTCTTTTCTTGCATTTCTCGCCTGTGGAACTCCCTTCTGATTTCTTGCTTCCCTCTCACCTATAATCTTCAAAAGTTTAAGTGCAAAGACAATTGCCATCTTTGGTCTTATGATTCCTGTTCCTTACTAAAGTTTTCATTTTTTTTTTCCACTCACTGTAGTCCTCTGTGTCCTAGTGGCATTATTACTCTGTTTGGGGGTGAAATGGTTATAAAAAGAAAAAAAAAAGAAGAAAAAACAAAAAGAAAGAACTTTCCTTACAACCAGATAACTTGATTTTGAGAAATGCATATAAGAACAAAGACAATTAAGTGCGTTTTAGTTTGCGTGCAGGCATTGTTATTATTACCATGCAGAGTAATACTTTTTATATTTTCTGACAAAGAAAAAAAAAACTTTTCAAATGATATTAATTAAAAAAAATGACTCATGACCAATACCTTTTTTACAATAAATAATATAAATAATATACAGAAAAGATAAAATCTACATTTTTCTCTAAGTACCAGAAAAATAAAAACAAATTCTATTATAGCTTGATTTTGAGAAAGAAATGCATCTTAAAACAAATAAAGAAAATTAACTGTGTTTTATCTTAACTGATTTGTTTTTACAGCTTATCAATCTTTTGCAGGTTATTTGAAACTAGAAAATATTTTTAGACTAAGAATGTTTTAAGAAATAATAATAATTACTAATTACCCATAGATGGGGGGGAGAGGTGGATTCATACCTTTCCCAAGAGTATTTGTGTGTAAGTGAATATAACAAACCTGACTGGAATTGAAACTCAACTCTGATTTCCAATTCAGATCCATTATCCATTACATCACCCACACATCCAAGCATATAGCACTTGGTATATTCCTATGCGGTTAGTCTTCTAGGTACTGACCAAATTTGATATGGCTTAACTTTGGTGATAGCATGAGAACTGGTGCTTCAATGTGATATGGCCATGTTTCAGCTTGAGTACAGAGGGCATGCATTGTTATTACCATGCAGAGAAAACATTTTATATTTCTTAACAAAAAAAAAAAAAAAAAAAAGACTGAACATATGACCCACCCGAATTTACAAAGTTGCTTGTGGCTGGAATATCTTTAAGCTGGTCCAACGCAGATTCAGAATTGGTCTGAGACTGAGGCACACTACCATCAGTATCAACTTGAAGTTCAGCTACATTTTGCTCATTTGACAGACATGGATCAACTTGATCCTCTACCAAAGCAGTTGAACCTATTTCCTGCTCAACTGTTACTGCCTTCCTAAAGTGGGTTTCTTCAGCTACTTTTGGTACCCTGGTAAATGTGTTTTCATTCACATCTGGTTTGCTCGAAGTTGGTTCACCTTGATCAAATTTGTCCACCAACTCAGCTAGTGTTGTCTGATCAACAATTTCTAACTCTTCATCTGCACTCCAATCTTCATCTGTCAGTGAAAGAAATTAAATGAACAAGTTAATAAGAAATGCAATTAATTCAATGAAGTTTTAAAACTGACTCAGAGTTGAGAGTCAAACCAGTATAGAAGTTAAAGAGAAGATTTTTAAAAATTTTGTACTTTGCTCAATACAATAAAAAAGAACTGGAATAAAGTCAGCGTCAAAAAACAAATCACACCAGCTAGAAATAAAAATAACAGATTTATATTACTTGTGTATATTTTAAGGATTGTCAGTAAAAGAGACAGCCAAAAGTGTGAGCTAAAAATAGATGTCAGAATCAAGCAGGTAAAGAAATTTAACTATCAAAAATAAAAGTGTAGTAACAGATGATGGAAAATGTAACACAGAAATCCAAATACACATCTGAATAGCGAATGATGTCTTCCAGAAACTAAACAAAATATTAAGAGATAGGAAATTTTATTAGAAACAGAATGTTGAACTGCTATACTCTGATACAGCAGTGAATTAAAAGACTTAAATTGACAGAGCTTTGATCCTACAGAAGGATACTGAAAATACATTGGACTGAACGTGTAAGCAGCAAGGATATTTTTGCTTAAAATCAGAAAGAAACAGTTGAAATTTTTGGTACACACAATAAGTAAAGAGGGTTTAGCGAATTTAACACATGCAGGATGTACTGAAAGCAAGAGGAACAAAGGGAAAAAGTGAGTCGTAACTAATCTAATAAGTTTGGTGCGAATGGATGGCAAAGCTGGCACAAAGGGAGTTGCATGATAAAGAGTCAAATGTTACTAAGAGCTACAAAGGACAGGAAGGTGTGGCAGCCATGATTATCCACATCTTGAAAGGGATACCACAAATAAGAAGATTATGTTGGTACTTGATACTTGAGGTGAAATTGAAGTTACTGGATAAAGAATCATTATTATCTTCCAATTTTAAACTTTGTGAACATTCATATCTTAGTTATCACAGATTTTTGAAGTATAAAACTAACTACATATATTGTAATGTTACTGACTCATGGGAAGTAGTATGCACTCAACTGCCTCATGGGTAATAGCTGTAGCTATTTATAGTTTTTGTGACTTCCTATGTAAAGGAGTTAACTTTATCTATCTGTACAGTGGGGTTTATATGGTTTGCATCCAATTTTTTTCAGCCATTGGCTGATAATTATTTGTCACAGAACTTCATTTCTTGAAAATATCATCCTTAATGCTTGTTTCATGGTTGAACTTTTTCTTTTGGAGACCAGTATTACTTCTGGCCAGCCTGAATATGAATCTATCAATATTAGTAATAATCCCATTCCATTAACATGTGTACTCTGTCCCAAGATTGCTCCTTTAATCAGTGGTCAAATAACTTTGCTAGGATTGGGGATAATCCTGGGTTGATATTCTTAAGGACAACCACTAAAATTCTTTTCTTGGCCAGTGTCTTTTTTGGAGGTCAAGGCTTTTGATAAATCTAGAGACTTCTCTTACTGAAATGAGTATATTACTGAGATTGTGCTCAGTGAGATGTGGATAGCTTTTGTCATCTAACGTTGAGTTTGAGGCAAAGAGCTTTGCCTTTTCTGTCGAGGAGGTTATGACCTTAAGGCCATTTATAATAGTGGGCACAGCCGCTTTGCCTCTGTTCATAATTTGGTTGTTGACCTTCCAGCAACTTGTGTTTAACCTTTTTAAAACAACCTTCTGCCTTTGAGCAATTATTCCATTTATTATTTTTTTATCCTGAACAATATACTGTTCAATATAGGATCTTGCTTTGTATCCTCAAAATATCAGTTTCGACCCAGTGTTAGAAAGTATCTTCATATTTTCCCTCTTTCTCATTTCCAGAAGTAATGAACGTCAATCTTGCCAAAATCTTTACTGGTATTGCCTTTCACATATTCAATAGCAAAGTCATACACCATTAACATCTTAGAATTCTAGACAATGTTACCTTAGGAAGTTCCTTCCTAGGATTAAATATGAATTCTAAAGGTCTATGGTTGGACTTTAGTAGGAATTTCTTTCCAATCAAAAACTGACAAGCTCTATTTGTCATCCATATTATGGCCAACACTTTGTTCTCACTATTTGAATAGTTCAATTCAACTTTTCTGACAATTTTCTCAAAAGATACATAATAGGATGACCATCCTGAGCTAATATTCTTGAAATTGACTGTTCATTTGTGTCAGTTGTTACTATTTTCTTTCTAGGGTTGAATATTTTTACTACTGGCTTCTTTCCCAGAACAGCTTTTAAATTTTCAAATGCTATTTGTTGTTCTTTTGTCCAAATAAATTCCACATTCTTTTTCTCAAACCAGCAAAAGGTTTTGTCAATTCGGAATATTGATCTACATATTGTCTGTAGAAATTTACAAGTCTTAAGAAAGATTCCAATTCTTTTTTGTTCTTCAATTTTTAATAATTTGTCAATTAACAATTGGTTTGGTGATATGTCTTTGTTAGATATAGAGTATCCCAAAAATGATATTTTTTTAGTATTGTGCACACATTTTGTTTTGGTTAATTGTTAATCCAGCATTTTTTAACTTATTCTAAACCATACTGGTTTTCCATTTTAGTTCTTTGTCATTAATAGCACCAAAACAAATGTCATCTTGGTAGTATATTGTTGTTTTTATATCACTACCAATAACATGCTGTATAGCCATTTGAAAAATCACACGTGCAGTTTTAGTTCCATACAGTATTCTTTTCCATCTTAGTAAGCATATTGGTGGGTTTATTGTTATGACTTCTTTAAAATCTTCATCAATAGACATTAGATGGTATGCCAACTTTAGATCAATTTTAAAGAAAGTTTTCATACCCACAAGGAAGTTCAAAGCCCATTCTACATTGGGAGATAGGAGATGAGTCTGCACATAATTTGTGATTTACATCTATTTTGTAGTCACCACAAATATGCAGATCCCCAGCCTTCTTTCTTAAAATTACTAATGAGGAGGCTTATTTGCTCCCTCCTGGTGGAACTCATTGAAGTAGATCTTGTTCCAGTAATTTTTTTTAGTTTTTCCACAACAATTGATAGATGAACTGGCACTTTTCGTGCTTGAAAATATGAAGGGGAGATATTTTCCTTTAGTCTTAACTTTGCTTTGTAGTTTTTTAGCATTTCAATTTCTTCTGCCTTGACTTTGTTTACTAATTTTGTTGAATTTATGTTCAGTACATCATTTTCTATTAGACCATGATTCTTTTCACAGTTTTCTATGATAATTGGTAATACATCAAACTTATTTTTTAATTCCACACATGCTTCAAAATAGCCTAACATTTTTATCACAAATCCATTGAACTGATTCAATTTGACAAGGCTTTTCTTTGATCTTGGTTTTCCTAATTTCTTCCAGAAATTTTTTGGGTATCAATATCACATCACTTCCTGTATCTAGTTGCATGTCCAATAAAACATTGATTCAAATTTTTAATTACCCTTTTTCATTTCTTTTCTCTTCATTTTGTTGGACCATCTCTATGTTTCAGTTGTTGAATTTACACATATGTTTAAAATGATTCATTTTGAAACACTTTACACATTTTTTTTATATGCAAGACATTTCTGTTTTTCTTTGATGTTGATAACCAAAAAAAGTACACATTATTCTGTCTTTTTTCTTTATTTTGCATGTATCCATTTCCTCGACTAGATCTGTAACTTTTGTTCTATTGAGTTTTCGAATTAATTCTTGTTTAACAAATTTGACACACTGTTCTAGTGACAACTTTCCCAGTTGTAAATGCATTAAAGTCATTTGCCAATTGTCCTCATTTTGAAGGTCATTTACCAATTTCATTTGGATCAAATCCTTTTCTATTGACTGATTTTCCAATCCCAGTCTCTCAAGTTCACAATATTTAGCGGCCTATTTTAAACAAAGAACATATTCAATAATTGGTTCATTCACTTTTTGAGAAATAATCATGAACTTTGCTCTCACTGCATTCATTAGCTTTTTCTTGGGTGCTATGTTTTTCCCTATTAGTTGACTTATATCAAACATTTCCTGTCTTGGGTGTGCAATTGCTTATAATTTTATAATGGCCTCACAACAAGCAGTTGCCAAGAAGAGATGAGTTATTTGGTTTTCTCCTCCAAGTGATTTTAAATCCTTTAGCTTTTTGGTTCTAGCTTTTGTTGTTAGTATCCTAAGCAATGCTTATACATATTCATAATTATCCAGTGATAATTGTCCTTTTGGTACTTTAGATATCAGTGGCGCCATTGTAATGCAGTGTTTCTGAATCATAGGAAGTACTATGCACTTGACTGACTCATGGGTAAAAGCCATAGCTATTTATAGTTTTGTGAGTTCCTATGTAAATGAGTCACCTCACTACAAAAAAAAGTTTGTGCTCTAATCTGAAATTTCTTTTCGCATACAGAGCCTAGATTTTTCAAGGGGTCAATTACTTGGTACAAATAAAACAGAATATAATTGACTGAAATTGGTGGTAGATCAATTATTCTCCTAGTATTTTTAATTTTTAAAACCGGAACCTTGTGCAGACAAAAAAAGAATCTTGTGCACCATGGGATTTTCTCAATGCTACTTCTCTTTAATCAATTTGCAATCTCAGCCCAAGATTATCATCTACTTTTTTTTTTTGCTATAAATGTTATATTTAGTGGATAAACAGGTTTCAATCAACATCTGTTTTTTTATTATTTATATCCACTTAAAATATTTAAGATTTCAAAAAATAAAATTATTTCCTATATACACCTAAAAATACTTCAGATTTCAACACAGAAAATTGTTTCCTATAGTCAGCTAAAAATATTTAAGATTTAATATTTTATTATTCCAACAGCTCACTTTTGAATAATTTTCAATTCATTTTATTTACATTTCACCACATAATAGCATTCTCAAGATAAAATAATGACTGCAGGTTTATTTATTACACAAAAGTCTTTAGATCAAATAAAGTTTCTAGCAGTTTGAGACCAGATTTTGCTAAGACACATTCAATGTAAAATTATGTATTTATGTTTATATTAATTTTTAATAACCTCTTTCTAAATATCTTTATTCACAGTCATGAAGATACAGTTTCTTGCCAATATTATTCACTGAATAAGTTGTCATTTTGGTAGTTTTTACTCAAAAGTGAACTGTTGGATAGAATACTATGACATTAAATCTGAATTATTATTTTTTTAAAGTAGCTATATAAAACAATTTTCTGTGTTGAATAAAACAAATTCAAAAGTTATTTAGTTTTAAAATGAGTGTATTTTTTGTGGATCATATATGCAAAATTAAAAATAATATAATGTAACTTGTTTTTTATCTGATACAAAATTAAACAAATGCTACTAATAATTTTCAAAATTGACTCTTTGTGAGTAAACACTTTTTTTTTAATGAGATAGATTTAAAAAAAAAAAAGAAAAAAAAAAGGGGTATGTTTTTTTTTAGTTTCAATATGACAGGATTGTTAGAAAAGTAACAGTTTTAAACAAAAAATGTTCACCAATTTACATTATTTAGTACTTAGTAGTTTTATTGACTACAAGTAGATTTACTCATTTGAATGTGTAAGAGTCATAATAAAAGATAAAAAAATTGTGTAATAAGAATTTTTCAATGAATTTTATAAAAAAGTAACTGATAATTACTTAGAGATTTTCTCAATATGTGTTCACATTTTTGTTTTAGTAAAAACCATCTTTGATCTGACTTTAGAAAAGATCAGTTGTTTCTGGTTTGCTTTTATAACATTCTTTATTTGTATACTGATAGTGTTGCTGATAAATTATTTTATAATCTAAAAGGTTATCAAATTCCAAAATCCAATATTTATTTTTAAACAAAAATGACAACTAAATAAAATTCTGACTGCTTAACAACTGAGCAAATTTTTAGTGTAAAGATTACAATATTGCTTTAAATAACTAAAAAAAAACAACAAAAAAAGACAATTTTACAGTTTTCAGCTTTCTTAAATTCATACCAATTAAATATACAAATAATGATTTATTTGAGAGGTATTTATAGGCACAAGTAATTGTAGTAATTTATAAGCCATTCCATAGTAGTATAACATTCCATTCCAAATACAAATTTACTGAAACTAACAAACAAATTGCAACAAACCTTTATACAACGAACTATTTTTCAAAACCAATGTCATCTTTTATTAAGCAGCCATATGTAAGAAAATGCTAGCTTTGAACATCTTTGAATGGAACAAAAAATAAAAATAATGCAATCTCAAATGTCCCATAATAGTTGTTACTTTTTAATACATGAAATTTGTCCCAAAATAGTCATTACATTTGTTTCAAAAATAGTTGTCACATTTGTGAATAAAAAAAAAAAAAAAAATGAAAATGAAACTAATTTATTAATTTAGTGCTTTTCTGTTTGGTAGCCAGTTTACATGCCATTCTCAAATAACAAATATATAGCATTTCAAGTATCTTTTTGTCATTTCAGATTTTGCCATAAATGTTTGTAACAGAAAGAAATTTATTTCATAAAATATAGCAGGTGCAATTTCCTAAATTTTCAATTTTTACTTGTTTCGTTTAAAACCACACCTCATGTTAGCAAAAAACCCCAAAAAACCCTCCAAAAAAACCAAATCAAAGAGTTAGGTGCAAACCATAACATAAATATGACCATTAATAAGTGTTGCCAATAACCAAAAGCAAAATATACAAATGTACCAACTATTATGAGATAGAGTCAATTAAATGGCTGGGAAACGTGATGTGATGTCAGAGTTAAGCAGAGAGTAAAAGAGAAATAACAAAATTCTTCTGACCATCATCCCATGAGAAGGCATCATCTTTGCATTCATCAGCACGTTTCATCAAGGCCAATTTTCTGGCTTCATCTTGTTGCAGTTGGTGAACTTTGTAGAAATACCGTTGCCAAAATTCTGTGTGTGAAACCATAGTTGGAACCTGCAGTAAAAAAGGGAAACATATTGTTTTAAGGAGAAAGAGGTGGCACTATGTTTAAAAAAACATCATTAAATACATTTTGTTAATTTTTTTTCATTACATTCTTATTAACTAAAGTTTTCACTGTCAATGATTTATTACAGTAATAGCCAACACTTTATTATAAACAGGCAAGAAAATACTTTTAAAAAATGGGTTAATATTTAAGTACAACATTGGTATTGACATGAGTTTATAGCTATAGTTTTATCATATTTATAAAAAATAAATTACATTTTTTTGTATGCAAAAGGAACAGCCCAACATGCAAATTACAAATTGGAGATAGCAAAATCAAATAAGTACAACAATTTAAATATCTGGGAAGTCTTAACAGAGGATGAAGAGTGTGACACTGAAATTCAAAGGCACATTGGGATATTGAAAGATGCCTTCCAAAAGCAAAGCAAAGTATTAAGAAACAGCAAAATTTTGTTAAGAAACAAAGAAAAGATTATTGAATTGTTGCATAATATCAGTCCACCTATATAGCAGTGAATACTAGATAATCTCCTCACAGACAAAAACGAGACATGAAGCAACATACATGTGGTTCTACAGAAGGATGCTGAGAATAATGGATCGAATATGTGTGTGCAATGATAAAGTAAAGTTTTAAAGAAAATGGAAACAAAAAGGACACTTATACTTAACATCAGGAAAAATTTGACACTCACAGAACATATTGAAGGTAAAAGGGAAAGAGGAAAACAGCATATAAGCTACTTAAGGAATTTATGTAAATGTTTAGAAGAACAGGGTTGAGGAGAGACAGCAAAAAGACAAAATTTACTAAGAGCTACAAAGGACAGGAAATTGTGGAGAGCCATGATCCCTAATATCCTAACGTGACACTTCACACAGAAGATGCAAATGCATGAAAAGATCTTGGTTAATAGTCAAGAAATCTACATGATGAAAATATATTTTCAAAAATATCAATTCCAGAGCAAATGAAAAGATTTGATATGCAAATGTTAAGTTTTTTTCTTTGCGGTTCCTTAATCAGTAGAAACAATCAAATGATAGTTTTCCAACAGAAAAACTTAAAATGTAGAAACAATATTGTATTTTCTTTTGTTTTTATTATTACAAGCAAAACGTAGAAATTTTACAGTGCATTTTTCCAATTTAGGCATGAATATAAAGTACGGGATATTTTAACAATATAAAAAAAGTTTTAAATAAGTGTTCATCTGTATAGAAATTTAAATATCCTTTTCAAGATAAAAAAAAAGAAAGATTTGTACAAGAAAAATATATTAATTTGTTTCTACTTTGTTGTCCTCTTCAGCTCAACTGTTACTTCAAATCACAGACTATACAATGCATTAACCAGGAAACAAAAAAAAAAAATCAATACACTTATGTAATTATACAATTGATCTTTTTGTATATTTGACTGTTAACCTTTTGCAAATGGGAACAGACACAATAACTGTTGCTTAACCAACATCATGGAAGTATTAGCTTCCAGAATTTCTCAGTGATCTTATCAACAATATATAATAGTTACCCTATTTACATTATTCGGACTATTGTCCTCATCTTTGTCGCCATATTTATTACAACATTTCGGCTGTTGTATGCTCTGGCCTTCTTCAGGTAGTTGGAATGTCAAACTGAACCCTTTATTTCGCTCACTGGGGTAGACTGTTCTAGTTCCATGTGCCATGTTTAATGGATGTCAGTTATCAGTTATCTGACTGTTAATTTCCTTCTCCAAGTTCCCCACTGCCTTATCCAGGTATTGAACTCACACTTTTTGGGTCTTGTCACTGGATCTAACCAACACATTTATCCACTGTGCCATGTGTCCTTGAGACATTCGACATTCCAACTACCTGAAGAAGGCTGGAGTGTACAATGGCTGAAACATTGTCATAAATATGGCGACAAAGCCAAAGACAATAGTCCGAATAATGTAAATAGTGTACATAATGCCTCATCTCAGAAATATAGACAGATAATAGTTACCATTGTGTATTTATTTATATCTTTTGTGTCACACACTGTAATAGAAAGGGAAGTAAATCAACTTAAGGTAGTAAATTTATGAGTGGTTATTTCCCTTATTCATTTTCATAATCTATACAAATAAAATATTTATCTTTACTTAGACAAAATTAGTTTCCAAGCAATGTCAGGTACCTCTGTTAGTATTTTGATATTTCCTCATTTTTTTTTTTCTAGCTTCACATATTTACTTTCTTTCAGTTTGTCTGTCAGTTTTATTTCTGTAAATTTATGTTTAATATGCATATCATAGTCCTATTCTCTCATTAATTGCAGAAATGTATGCAAGAGAATATTGATGATATCTTGTCAACATATGTGCATTTCTATGGCTACAGCTAGTTAAACAGTCGGGAGAATCCTGGCCTTCCACAAGTTTGCAAATTTCGTTGCTCTCTAAGTAAAAGTTAAATACTAAATGGATCAAAAACATTCTTTGTAAAAACTTTACTACTGAGCCTTGGCATTGATGTAATTTTCAATGTATTTAAGATGTTTTCCCATGAAAGACGGCTTGTGGTGTGGGATGTAAGTTCAAGTTTTATCAGAAGATATTTTCTTATTTCTCATTCTGTACTGTCTTAATGAAGATAGACTCAACAGAGATGTCATTATGCGTTGTATCTTATCTTGTGTATTCTATAATGGCTAGCCACCCATTTCCAACCAAGGCTCTCTGCTACAGTGCGCTATCTACTTTAGTTATTAAAAAATACACCGACTCAGAGAGTTATGATAAAAATCTTCGATACATTGATTCATTCGTTTTCTACAGCTTATCAACTCTTTGAAGGTTATTTAAAGCCAGAAAATATTTTTAGATTGCAAAATTTTTTTTTTGAGAAAATATTGATTTAGTGATACAAGTCTTACTAATTAACCTATACCTGGGGGGTGGGAGAAGAGATAGATTCATACCGTTTCCCCAAGAGTATTTGAGTGTAAGTGAATATAACAAACCCAATAGGAATTGGAACTTGACTCTCTGATTAACAATTCCGAATCATTATTCATTACACCACCCAAACATCCAAGCTTAGAGTACCTGATATCCCAAAGAGGTCACCTATCTATGTACTTATCAGGCTCAATGTTACTTAACTTTCATGCTTGTACCAGAACTGCTGTTTCAACATGATATGGCTGTAAGCCCAAAATAGAAGAAAACTTGTAATGAAATAATCATGAAAGTGCTTCAAAAGAAAATACATACAGATAAGAATAAATTAATATTCCAACCTTCTTCAAAAATTTAGTCTTACATATTATTTACTGTTACTTTTGTGTCCTATGTCCCTTCAGGACATGGGCGGTCATGGCTCTTCACAACTTCCTGTCCTTTGTAGCTCTTATTAAATTTTGTACTGAATGGCATAAATAATGATTTTATTAGGATGGAATCATTAACAGATCCATGAATAGTAAGATAATTAATGAGAGTAGAGCCATTGATTTTTAAAGCACTGGAGTAAAACTTGTATATTTTCTATGGAATAATTTTTTTAGGAATAGTAAAAGCAATTAACATCAGGTAGAAATAAAAATAATATAATGGTGGAGAGTTAAGATAATTTGGGAGTGAAAAAGTTTTGGAGGAATGTACAGAATATTATGTGTATTTGTCAGCAGGTGCAAGATGTAGAGGTTAGTAAATTTAAATTTTACAGTTTATATTTTCATATAATTATACAAATAATGGTACTATTCTGTTAGTAACATTTCTGAAAACTGACGATTCATAACTTCCTCCACCTCAATTTTCAATGTAAAGTGTTGAAAATGGCTCAAATAAATTTTAGGTAAAAAAATCATAGGTTCTATTCCTATAAACTAAAATGCTTAGCTTTAGTTATTTTCTGCACTTATAAACTAAGAGTGACAGAAGTGGAGTAATGATAAAGTAAGTGGAGAGCAAAAATTAAAAAAAATAATTTGCTAGTAAACTGTAACTATTATTGTTTCATTTTCCTCTTTCACCCAGAATTTGCTGTTATGGATGTAATCATTAGTTGAATGAGATTTATTATGGATGTAATCATTAGTTGAATGAGATTTATTATGGATGTAATCATTAGTTGAATGAGATTTATTATGGATGTAATCATTAGTTGAATGAGATTTATTATGGATGTAATCATTAGTTGAATGAGATTTATTATGGATGTAATCATTAGTTGAATGAGATTTTTGAAATATTTGTTTAATAATTTCCACATGTGATATCACAGGTTACTTAAAAGATTTATAATGTACAGTGGAATGCTAAAAAAACAGAGGATGGAAAATGCGACACCAAAATCCAAGTGGGTATTGAATTAGTGAAAGATGCATGTGATATCAATCCTCTTGCATGGCAGTGAATACTGGACAGATGAAGAGGAAACTGGAAGCAACAGAAATGTGGTTTTACAGACAGAGTAAGTAAGCAATAAGGAAGTCTTAAGGAAATTGAAAAAGAAAAAAAGGACATATTTAGAATAAGAAAGAGACAGATTAAATTTCTTGGACATAATGAGGAGATGAAGGGGGCTAGAGAACTCGATTCTCACAGGGCATATTGAGATAGGAGAAAGCAGCAGGCCAGCTACCTGACAAGCTTGTATAAACAGAGGGCAGAACAAGGGCCAGCAGGAGGCTTAGCAAAGAGATGAAAGCTGCTAAGGGCTACAAGGGATAAAAGGTTGTGGAGAGTCATGATCACCCATGTCCTGAAGGGACATGACACAGAAAAGAAGAAGCCCTTATATGTAAAAAAAAAAAATTTTGAAAATTGCATCAGATTTTAAGAAATGAGTTGTAGGGTTAGTAACTTTACAGCATCACCTTGTATAAAAGGTGAAATTAAATATTAGTTATTCCCTAATATTGTTGGTTAGAAAATACACATTATGGGCATGTGGCGGAGTTATTATAATGTTAGCGTTTTGATCATGAGACCCAGGTTCAAATCACATAATGGTTGATTTGACAGAGGTAACTTCTTGATAATATTAAACTAAAGACATGATCTTAGTGTGTGGCAACATTAGGAATTGTTAGAAAACCACCCCACAAGTAGACCCAAGATTTGTAAGTGAAATCAAGTAGATAGAACTGTTTGGAAACTGTTCTATAATTGTGCTAACATGAAGTAACAAGTCATCATGACCAAGGGTTTCAGCACACTGGCCTTGTTCAAACAGTTGATCACATCAGATTATGCACTCTTTCCTAGAAACTTTAACTGAGGTCCGCTATATAAACCACACATTGGCTCTGGGAGAGCTGAAGAAGCACAAATCTGCCTGAGTAGATGTCTACATCAGATGTCTAGCAGAGGGGACTATTTGGAAATGAGTGGCCAGCCATTATAGAATATGTACATTGAAAGACAACACAGAATAATATCTATGTTGTAGTTGTTATTAATATCAAATAAGAAAATCCAAGTAGCATTATGCTTTACACTATACTGAATTGTTATGTGTTAATGAAAATGATTGACTGTGGCAGTTATCATCAACTAAAGTATATATAAAGGAAACTGAAAGGCACCAGTTGAATACAACAATCCACTTGACTGTTTTTGTTTTTTTTTTTGAAGAGAAAAATAAAAATAATGGCCAAAAATTTGATATCTTACCAAGTTGGTGTACAAAGCTCGAATTTCAGCATTTGAAACAAGCAGTTCAGATATATCACCCTTTTGGTTTTCCATATCAAATGTTTTCAGCCACTCTGCAAATTTCTCTGAAGAAACTGGAGAATGACAGTAAGTACCGGGGTCAACTTGAACAGCACGAAGTCTGGCCTAGAAAAGAATATCAAAAACATTCAATGCTGATGAATAAAACATTTAAATGTATTAACCTCATATATATGTATACAATGAATAAATGTATACATGAACACAGGTTAGATTTTTTCTTTTTAAATATTTAATACAAGCTAATGATTTCACAATAAAATTGGTATTAACAAACCAAGGATAAAATGTTGAGAATATACTTATATGATAAGTAAACCATTTAAGTCCGAGTTTATAAAATCTGTTTTTATTAGAAATATTTGTAATAACTCTTTTGGTAGCATAAGATTTTATTATGCAAGTTGAATGTTATCCATCATTTTGTAAATAAATAAATAAATATTAAAAGATATAGTTATTGATATTTATCTTTTTAATTTCAGAGTCATAAAGATTACCATGTGTAAGGATAACCTTAAAAAAGAAACAAGATATCGTAAAGTTATTGAGTGATAAGAACACCTTTTGCATTGTGAAAATTTGTTAAAAAATTACAAAAAATACAAACAATTGGAAACATTGACAAGGACAAAGAAAAATGGCTTTAAATTCAAATCCAGGGACATCTCACTCCTGTTGAAGCACCCTCCCCCCATACACAGACCATTGACCATGTCTTCAGAGGCATAGCCATATTCACCACACTCAACCAAGTAACAGAAATGTGGTTTTATAGATAGAGCAAATAAACAATGAGGAAGTCTTAAGGAAATTGGAAAAAAGAAAAAAGAAAAGGATACATATTCAGAATCAGAAAGAGACAGATGAAAGTTGGTGAGGTTATTTAAGCTATAGTTGGAGGTTTTGAATTCAAAGTTGTCCTTCTCTTAAACTAGTTGCCACTCAAGGCTATAGAACTCAACAGTAATCTTGAGTAAAGAATATATTGCTACATTAGATGTGTCTGGTGGCTGGAGTAGATTTTGGGTCTTTTACGACTTGGAAGGTTACAGGTGTGGGGGAAGTGGAGTAATGTTTTGGGCTAGTAATGAAAATAATATAAAACAAAATTTTGAATTGTTTTTGTATGTGTAAAATTTTAAAGACACAGTCACCCATACATGACACAATCAGAAAATGAGAGTGACAATTATAGTAAATTTAGAGCCAAAATTCTCTAGAATTCAATAAGACATTAAATTATAGAGAATATTTTCTTAAATTTTTCAGATGACTGAGTACTTAAAAGGCTTTCATGTTATATTCCTCAATTATTTTTTTAATGTTTAAAGCCCCCTTGAACAGTGTTAGGTAGCAATCTATTCATCATCTTTTTAAGCTGTCAACATAAGTAATCTACTGTGTGTTGAAAAATGCATTTCTGTGATATTTTAAACATAAAAAAAATAATAGTTGTTTCAAATCAGATTAATTATACTTTAATTCAGTTAATATTCCTCAAATAAAGTTTCAGAAAAGTATATTTTACCTTTGAAAGATTTTTTAATAAAGAGATTTAGATTTTTATAACACTTTCCTAAAAATGGTGCCAAATTCAAAAATTTTTGAAATTTAAAAAAAAAAAAAAAAAAAAAAAAAGAGGAAAAAAATTTCTAATCAGTTTAAATTAGTTTTGAAATACAGCATAGTATTTTGTTTATTGGAAATACTAAATTTAATGTCACAGCTTGAAATTAAAGCTAAAATAAAAGCCTCAAGAAATATTTTTCATTATTAAAAAATAATTTTAAACGTTAGGGATGGTGCAGAAGTTGTCTCTGGCATCACTTATCTACTCACCTACCAACCTGGACAAGCAGGTGAATCCGTGAATAAAACATCTATTTTATTATATGATAAACAGGTTTTGCATTATTATTTCTTGATGTGGTGATTTTTTTCTTTCATTGTATTACCTTGTGAGCATGTATTATGCTCTTTCCCAGCTTTTGGAGAATACTGACAAGATCGATGATGGAAATATGTGGGGGGGGGTGATTATTGGCCAGTTGGTGTCTTGTGAGGTTGGTCCCTTGGGTATGTTGTTCCTAAATTTGTGTGCTGCTTACTGTGCTGTTGTTTTGTTACCTCCTGTCTCTTTCCTTTCTGTAGTTGGAAGAGCAATTGATTAGGTGTCCCTTCTCACCAACCTCAACAGACCCTTGCTGTATTTTACAATGACTTAGAGGCACGGACAATTTTTGTTAAGTTTACTAACCCAAATTATAAAACTATGAACATATACATTGATATGTGCACATGTTCACAAATCTCTACTCCACACACAAGAAAGCATAATTATATCCACTAATACACACACACACACAAATACATATACGCATATGAATGCACATGCATGTGTGGTGGTGGCTGTCTGCAAGGATGGTTAGTCAATCCCTGTTGTCGTCCTGAGTATGATGATAAACTACATCTGGATCCTGGGTAAGATGATAAACTACATCCAACAACAAGGCTTCTGATCAGGAGGTTTTGAGGAGCATAGAACCACCTGTTAGGGTCCAAGCTATGGGCAAATAATTAACCTCCAAACTGGGGTCAAAACACTATGAAAGTGTAAAAATAGGTTTTAATACCAGAAATGCTTTGTAAAAAAATTATTGTGAGGAATACATTTTTGAAGAAAAATTATATTACCAGCAATACATTTAAAAAAAAAAAATATCACCAGTAATAAAAATCTTGTCAGCATTAAATAACCCATTGAGGTTGATATGCTGTAAAACAAAACAAACCAATCTCTGTCACAGACGCCTGCTCAGGCACATTTGCCTGTTCAACACCCACAGAGCTCACCTGTGGTCTATACTTCCTGATAAATTGATGCATGTAATATTGATAAATATATGCTGACACCAAATATATTAATCTTGAACTTAAATATTTCATCTATAATCAGAAGTGTAGATTTTTCCCAAAAAAAACCCCAAAAAACAAAAAAACAACTAACCTGAGCCCTGTCATAAACAGCTGTTTTGGTTTGGTTAGGGTCATTGACAGTATCCTCAACATCAATAACTTCCAGTGCCTTGGAGATTCCTTGCAGAATATGAGTAAAACCTTGTTGAACCTTACTTTTAGCCACAGCAGCATTCTCGGCCTAAAACCAAATACAATAAACAGAGTTTAAAAGTTAATGTTGTGAACTTAAAAAAAAACAGTATTTCTAAATTAAGTACATGTGAATGGTTTTCTAAATTAAGCTTGATAAGCTTTGGCTGCATTAAGTCTTTTTTGAAAATAGTATAAATATTTTAAAATATATTTCTTAGCCATTTATTTACATTTGGACCAATATCTTTGTTATATTATCATGTTTCAGTTTTTATACTTTTGAGTTTTCTTTAGATGTCTGTTAATCCAAGTAACCTTTATAAACCAAACACTTTATTCAATTTACACAGCTAGATTGTCCTTGTTTGTCTATGTCTGGTAATATCTCACCTTGTTCTCATTTAGTATTGCTCAGTTATTGCTTGCCTTGTTTCTACCAAGTGAGTTTGCACTGCCCGGCCCAGGGATTGAACTCATAATTGCCATGCTACCAAATTCACAAACAAATGCTATAATCTATTAGGCTGTTGTCAGACAAAATATTTTAAGCATTTTACAATAGTAAGCAAATGAGCCAAATTTTTGTAGATCAACTTGAACAAAAATTTCTAATTGATATATTTAATATATCATGTGATCAACAAAGCAACAGTGAATGATATTATTGATTAAAAATTAAATACAGTGATTTTTGCATATTTTGTAGGAAATTATCAATTGTATTTTCTGTAATAATTATCCAATGATAAACTCACATATCATGTCTCCATGAGATAGAATTTTACACCCAATTTATTAAGGAGAAATAAATGTAATACTGGTTAAAGAATGTATGAAACCTTCAATGTATGGCTTTCTCTGATGATGATATAAATAAACATCAAAATATTAACTTTCTTACTCAGTACTGATAACTTACAAAGGTTTTTTTTTCATAGTCACTTTTGGTTCATAAGGTTTGAAAAGCAAGAGTTATAAGAAAGGCAAAAACCTTTGGCATGTAGAGTTTTATTTTTATTCATAGCTATTATAAAACAAAAATGGTTAATATAATATGATAAGAATTATAAAATCAAATAAACATCAATTGTAGAATTGCAAGAATAAGTTGGTCACAATTTTTTATTCTTTTATCAGCTAACTACAATATTTGTCTAATCTATCATGTGATTACACTATTGATATCAAGTTGATAACAATAATAACTGATAATAGTTATTTATAAACTGGATAAGATTGTGTGTTCAATATCTAAGAATAAATATACTTTACCATTGCACAACTAAATTATTTTATCTTTTCACAGCCCAGTACAAACCAGTCAAACATGAGCCATAATAGAATAAGTAGGCATTTGTATAAAATGTCACTAAACACAAAAAATATACCACCTCAACAATTTGGTTGGTACTCACCTTTAAATTTTCTGAGATTGTAGATCGAGTCATGGAGACTGCCTTGCTGGTATCTGATTGGATGACCGAAGAAAACTCTGCCAGATCACGCTTTACAAAGTCAAAAGCATTTGTTGACTAAAAAGAAACCAAATAGCATTTTATTTTGAATAGAAGAATAATGCAAGTCATTCATTTCAAAAGATAAATCAAATAAATGTTTTATATGCATACCTTTCTTTTTTTTTAATTTAATTCAGATTGGTGAAAATATAGGTAAAAGCTAAACAGCTGCCATGGGAAAATCAACAAATGGAAATAATCATAATATGTATATATAAATAACTTAAAGTGAACACTGAAGTCAACACTCAGAGGCAACAGACTGTCTCATGCTAGATGTATGGCCTGATGATTGCATATAAGCATGAAACAGCCTGTTGCCTCTAAGTGTTGACTTCAATGTTCATTTTTATATTTACATATGCTCTATCTCTGATATCAAGCACTTTCACACCTTAAAATTATATTTCATATATATACATACATATATATATATATATATATATATATATATATAATCTGTTGGTATATAATCACAGTGAATCCTATTAATACAATAGAAAATATTAAAACTAATTCATACAGAGAGCTCAATCAAACAGAGCAACATATTTTTTATACAATCGGAATTAAGATTACCTTGTAAATTGAAATAAAATTTACAAGTATTTTTCAAACCAGTCAACTGATGATAAAATATTGAAATAAAACTAGCCAAACAGAAGAAGGAAAGAAGAGAAGAAAAATGGAGAAAAAAAAAGGAAAAAAAAAAGAAAAAAAAAAGAAAAAGAAATCAAATAAAAATAAGGAAGTAGTGTAAGTCTGGATATGAGTGGTGATTAAGGGAGAAAGGAAAGGAAAGAGAAAATAAGGAGGAGAAAAAAGGGAGAAGAAATGATCCCTTTATTTTATACCCAGTAGCAGACAGAAGGCAGTTCAGAACCCTTCATAAATCTATTAACAAAAGTAATATTACATTAAATAAAGAGATAAAACCCATTTATATGAAAGAGTATATTCAGAATTAAAGGTATATTAAAATAAACAATATGTCAGAAAAAAATATAAAAATATAAATTAAAATACTGAAATGATTAAAATTATCTAAGGATGAAGTATCTAAATTAAAATCTACATTTAAATCAACATATTTAAAGTTAAACCTATATTAAATAATTCCCATCTACATTGAAAAAAAATGTAATATTCATCATCTAATATAATGAACCAATAAATAGATAAATTTCTTCTCCCTTTTATTTTCTCTTTCCTTTCTCCCCTAACCACCCCTTATATCCAGACTTACACTACTTCCTTATTTTTATTTCTGCTCTTTCTTTTTTCCATTTTTCCCCTTCTTCTGTTTGGTCAGTTTTATTTCAATATTTTATCATCCATTGACTGGTTTGAAAAATCCTTGTAAATTTTATTTCAATTCACAAGGTGAAAATGATCATCAACTTAATGTAATCTTAATTTTATTGTGTGTATATATATATATATATATATATATATATATATATATATATATATATTACACACGCATGACATATGAAAGTAAATAATTCTATAAGTTGAACAAAATTCATCAAATGTTGGATTTTAAGTGTTTTTTAATAATTTACTTTTAAAAAGGTTACATTTTATTGGACAGAATAAATAACACACATTTATCTCTCCTGAAATTATACACTGGGATTGGGAATCTGGAAAAATAAATAAGGAAGTTAAAGGAAATAATTAAAGAAAACTGCATGATATCAGCATTTAAAAAAATGAACAAATAAATTATTAACTTTAAATTAAAAATGTAAAACACACATTTTTTTTTTTTATTAACAAAGAAAAAGCCTCATAGAATGTAATTCCTTCAATGTGTACTCCTGTCAATTAAAACGCATGAACAGCTTATACAATCTTCATTGGTGAAGTCTTAAACAGTTTGATTTTCATTTATCATGCAGTAAGAGATTTTATAACTAACTATAATCAATTTCAAAATACAGTCTTTTTGTAATTATTCAAACTGAACCCATTCATAAGTTTTTTGAAAATTTAGAAATTTCATTGGTTAGAAATTTAATTTCAAACACCAAGGCTGTTTATATTGGTTGTGTTTTCAGCAAGAAATTTCCCTTAAAAATATATCTACCTTAAATCAGCAAATAAAAACAAAAAACACAAAGTTGGATGGAAACAGATAAAAACTAACAATTTTTTATTTGATTAAAAAAAAAAAAAAAAAAGGATAAAAGTGTTTGAAAATGTTATTTGATGTTGTAAATGTTGAATTTCTTTCAGAAAATGACCTTTTTCATTCTTTTTTTAATTTTGGTATTCATTTATCTGGAACTTTGAATTATCCAAACATATTTTTTCAAAACAAGCCTGAAGGTGTCAGGATAAACATGGAAGTAGTGTATATGTAAACATTTTCACAAAATTATTTTTCTGGATGTTTAACAATTCCCAATAGTCAACTTTAGTGACTAGTCAAAATATTATATGGTACATTGCTTCAGCACTAGATTTTTTTAATTTTTTTTATTTATGTATATGCAGGTCAATCTAAAAGTAATGACTGTTCTTTAATTAGAACAAAATTAAATCATTGATACATAAAATATTCTAAAATAAACAAAAGAAATCTTAGGACACAACAGTTTCTTTCTTTTTTAATATATTCCACTTTTGAATGAGGCCATGTCTACCTTTCTTGTGAGATCTTCTTGGTTTGCTTTCATAGTTATGCGTGAGTTCCATTTTTCACCTCATTATTAGAGAGCCACTATTTTCTGAGTGCTTCCTTCAGGAGACCAAGATGAAAGTCCGAAGGTGCCAAGTACTACTATGGCTAACCTGGAGGCTTTAATAATTTAGCAATGGTAATTCTTTTGCCAGCTGTAATGATAGAATCAGCCTATTTGGTCTTATACACATTCACACCGCAAGATCTGTCACTAATATCAATTTCTTTATCTTGGATTACCATTATTTCTACTAACCCATCTCTTTACTGTACTTATATCAAATACATACAACCTTTCCATAAATACTCACTCATCCCATGTGAATGTAAGCAGCATTTTCATCTTCCTATAATCAGAAATTCTATGATAGCTCTTTGCCTTCTATGTGTTTCTAGAGGAGCAGCTGCTTTTTAAACAGATTGGTGGATAGAAAAAGAAATAGTACCCTCACAATTATTTCCTCCTGAGCTTCTAGACACTATAGTCAAAAATTACAAAGAATTCTAATACTTAAAAAATTAAATCAGAACAGTCATTACTTTTTGACCAACTCTTGTATTTTTGTACTGTAATGTAAATGAATAGTGCTATCTGATATAAACTGGAGAAGTGAAACAATTTAAAACTGGTTCTCAACTAGAGGAAACTTTTTAGAGTTTCAGGAAGGAATAAGACCATAGATTGTCCGATTCAAACTATTGGAATATTTTTACAATTCTACAATGCACCTTTGAAGGTGAACAATCTAAAATATGGTGAAAAAAAGATGCATAGACAAAAAAAAAAAAAAAAAAAAAGAGGTAAGAACTAACAATTTAAAACAAAAGTAATGAACTAAAGAAACTTCTTAAAAGAACTGCTTCAATAAACTGATTGAAATAAACAAAGAAATCACAGTAGTTTTGTTTTTTTAAATTCCATATCCCTTCAGGACATTCTGGATCATGGATCTCCAGAGATTTTTTATTATTATTATCCTTGAATTAGTATGACTTCTTGGGAAGGACAGTGGAGTGATTTCTTGTTACATTCTCCAAATTCAGATTTGTTTTTCTCCTAGACTGGTTGCCACTCAAATCTCACTTACTATTTAACTCATAGCTGCAGGTTGGGAGGAGGAAAGGAGATGGATTCATACTCTTCTTAAACACAATAGTGAACAAAACCAGCTTGGCTGGAATTTGAACTCAGATTGCCCTGACAACCATTACATTAGCCACACCACATCCTTCAACAGTTAAGTAAGCAAGAAAAAAAAAGTTTTTGTAAGGTTTTCTTTACAGTTTCATCACTGGAGTTAAGCAATGTTCTACCTGATTGATAGCCCATGGCGACCATTACAATATTTTAATTATTAGTAAAAAGTGTAAGTGGGTGGCTTGGAACAATAAAGATTCTTCTAGGACAGTAGTGGACAAACTTTTTTATGGAGAGCCACATCATTGTAGACCCTGTGTAAAGTAGACAGCATCACAATAACATGAGTTTTGCAGCAGCAATAATGAATAAGAATTATACATGTGCACATTATTGGTATATTTATTTGCATATTAGACACATTTTGTGAACATACTGCATAAATGGATAAGAAATTACTTTAATTTGTTTACTTTTATTAATAAGATTTGTGCAGCTGAGAAAAATCTTTTACAAGTTTTTCATAATCAGGATTCAGTTTACTCGTTGATATATGCAAGAGAGATGGCAGATCCAAATCTGTTAGCCAAGACCTATTTCTTCATTGGTTCATAAATGAAAAATGTCTGTTCACAGATGCATGTGGAACCAAAGAATGAGCAAAATTTGCTGGTAACATTTTTAATTCAGTTAATCTAGAGTTTTGAAAATAGTCCTACAGGGCACTGTCATTTTAAAGGCCCTCTCAACTGCAGCTGAAGATTGTCTGTTGCCATTTTTATATTTGTTGGAGCACACACAAGCACCTAAATCACTACCTCAATTTACGACATAGTGTGGAACAGTGATTCAGATGCTTGTGGTAGTAACACAAGACGTTAATTTTGTAGGAAGTGAGTTTTCTGACCACTGTTAAATATACATTTTCTTTGTTTTCCTGTTTTGAATAGATTACTGCTTTATATAACATGTAACTAAAAATTACCAAATTTTTTTAAAAGGACATTTAAAAAGCTAATGTTTGTTGTGTTCCTGTAGGATACATAAAAACATCAGGTGGTTCACATGCAGTCTGCAGACTAGAGTTTGTCCAACCCTGTTCTAGGAAATGCATAGACTTGGATATACAACAATTCTGTCTCTTCTCTCAATTTTTAGTATACAAAATAATTAATAAAATCAACACAATTACCACAAATTTTCTGAAACAAAGTCATGTTAAATAACAACTTGCACAAGAAAATATACAAGCTGAAAGAACCAGTATATAAAATGATGCATCAATAAGTTTGTAGCTTGATATGTAATTTATTAGCTGAATTTTGATATGAAATTTTCTCTGTATAATGTTCAATCATGGTGATTAATGTTCACCACTTAAGTACACTGACAAAGATGATTATGTTGAAAAAATATTTGTGTAAAATAAATGCTTTTTTTCTATCCAGCAGTGACTTCATCATAAGTATATCAACCCATGAAGTCCAGCTGTAATCTCACTGAATAGATTGAAGTAATATGGTGGGGGGTATTATTCAGAAGGAGTGTGCAGGTGGTATCATAGCAGTCCAGAACAAGAAATTGACAAGTTGGGTTTATTACATTCACTTATGTGTAAATATTCTTAGGAAAGGTCTAAAGCCATTTCTTCTCCCCTCTCAGGGTTAAATAGTAGGGCAGACTGGGCTCCTCAATCTTGGTTGGCAACCAGTCTAGGAGAACAACTCAGAATTCAAAGCCGGTTGAGGGTGTGGCTAGCAACTCCACACTGTAAAAGCCTACTAGCTACAAAGAAACCACAGCAGCAACACCTAGTTGTGACCTCATACTCCTCAGGGGAGTTAACAGGGCTTGAATGAGTGAGTAATTTTTCAGAAGAGATGTAGGGATTAGCAAGAAAAAAAAATACAATATATAGAATAAAAGTTATAAATCAATGAGACTATGATTTTCAACCAGATGCTAAATTCATCTGAGAGAATATTAGTAAATGAATCAGTTGGAATATTGTGCAAAAACTATAAATTTGATTCATATGATCCTTTATTAGAGTATTTGAAATAATCCAGTTTAACTGGGTGGATAACAAAATGACTCACAAATTTGGGATCAGGGTAGTAGTTCTCTGCTACATGACTGAATGATACCTAATTTAAAAAAAGAAAAAGAAAAAAAAAAAGACCTTGTGTTCTGACATGTATAACGAAATAGTAGGTAAAAGTAAGTAACAGCTTGTCCAGTTAATAAAGAGTAGGTCAAAAACTCGTATCAGCTGAACTGGCAAGAAAATATCAAGTGAACAAATGGTAGTAACAAAGAAAATGTTTCTTTTGAAATTAAAAAAAGCCTCATAATAAAACATCTTGCATATATTGTTACAGAGTCAGTAAGAAGTCAGTTTCATTGGTATTGCTGCTAGAAAGTCTAAGTTTAAAGCTTAAGTTTGAATAAAAGAGATTAACCCCACAATAAAATATGTACTCCCCTAACCTTCCCTCAAAAAGTGGGGGGAATTATTTGGGTTTATAAATTTATTTAAGACTTCTGCAATATTAAATGAAAAGCCAGAAGTTTTGAAAAAATATATACAATCTCCCAAAAAGAGATTGTAGATTAATTGATTGTTTTTTACAGTTTATCAACCTCTTGCAAGTTATCTAATGTATTTTTACATTGTAAGAATTTTTTGGAGATAATAATGATTTACTGATACCAAGTCCTACTAATTAACTCATAGCTGGGATGGGAGAAGTGGATTCTTACCTTTCCCAAAGGTATTTGTGCATAATGTACATGACTGAATTTGGAATTCGGTTCTTTGATTTCCAATTCTGAGCTGTTACCCATTACATCACTAGTACATCCAAGCTTACAGCACCTGGTATTTCCAACTGGTCACCCATCTAGGTATTGACCATGATCAATGTTGCTTAACTTCAGTGTTCATACAAAAACTGGTGTTTTAACACAATATGACTATAAGCATAAAAGAGGACATAGAAGTAAAAATATTATGATTCCTTGGGGGAGGGAGTGTAGGGTGTTAACATGCAATGCATAAAAAATATATATAAAAACAGTTCAAAGAATAAATTGGCCAAGATAAGCAATATGTTAATTAAAGAAAGTCTTTCTTTGGAAAAGAAATGACCAGGTGGCATGGGGGACTTCATTTTCAGGAATAGTTCTGTGGTTTGGGTCAAGTAGATAGAAAATACTAGCAGCAATAGGTGTGTGTGTGTGCGCAGGTATGTAGAAAAATAGGAAAGAACATGTTAGGTAAATAATCCAGGGTTCTTTAGGATAAATTCCTAAATTTTCACTTGAGGATGAAACAGTGCTTGTTACTTTAATTCAATTTAATTTTAATAATTATATTGAGGGTTTCGGCTCTCGTTTTTGAAACATGAGAACTCTTATGTAGCGAAGGAATCCTATTTTTAAAAAAATAATTATAATATATATATGTAAAATAAGTAAACTTAAGTCATTTGTTTTATGGTAAAATTTGCTATGCTAATTTATAGTACATCCACTGACACAAGTAAAGCAAGATTTTTAATTGAAATTTTGAATGTTCTAAAAAGGATTAAAAAATTTAATTAATTATTCATAAAATATTTTGATCTTTTCTCTTAATAATAAAGATTTTGATGATAAAACTGTTTTTATTAAGTTTGGAGCATTTTTTTCATCAAAGTATGCTAATTTTTTAGTAATTTTGTGGAGGTACCTATAGCATTCAGTTTTATAAAATGAAAACATACACACAGACACAAAATTTTATGGTATCTTCTGCAAGACTAAATCACTTTTACAGCTGAGCATTCAGTACAGATTCTTAGAATTATTATAAATTATTAAATTATTAAATATTTATTTTTTTTATATAATTGTTAGGTTGGGTAACTAGATCTTTTAAAAATATTTTGTTTTTAAGATTTTTAATAATGTAACCTCCCTGTGCCTTTTCTATAAATACTTTCATGGTAATTGTTCTGATGAACTTTCCTCTATGATACATAGACTTTACGAATTTAAGCGCAATACTAGATTGGCAGCAAGGTCTCATCATTTTACAGTTGAAATGGCTAGGTCTAACCATTAGTTCTATGCTAAGTTTCTTCTATCACACTTCTCACTTGTGGAACTGTTTTCCAGCTTCTTGCTTCTCAGTCAACTTTGCTCTTCAAAAATGTAAATGCAATGTCAATCATTATCTTCAGTTTTCTTAATTCTTGTTCTTTTATTCTCTCTCCTTAATAGTAGTTTTTTTCAAAACTCAGTAAACCCTTGTGTCTTAGTGGCTTTATTGCTTTGCTTGAGGTGAAATGATAAAAAAATCTACTTTTAAGAGGTATTTTCTTGTAGGTATCAGGAAATTATATTGAGTTTATGGGCAGAAACAATTTTGTAATGAAATAAAATAAACATTTTTTCGTTTTTTTTTTTAACTAAAGTTCACACTATTTATTACTGGCTTAAGAGCCGCTCAAGGTAGAGTGCTACAGTCAACAAAATGGTAATGCTGAATAAAGTGTGGGGCATCAGTGGAAGAGGTGGTGATAGTAAATGAAGATTATGAGGAAAGATGATGACTGACCTTTAACTTGAAGAGGTTTTTCCAGGGAAGTTTCTTACAAGTTTTTCAAGTCAACTAGAAAGTAGCTTAATTTTTTTATTGGTATTTTATGTTTTTTTGCTCAAACAAATCAGTACATTTATTTACAGTAAATTTACTAGCAAAATCCTAACCAGTATCTATACAATACAATTATCACTAAAGATAAAGCAATGCAAAGACTATGTCATTAATTAAAGTTTTGTTCTCTCTATAGCTGAAAATTCGATATGCATAGAAATGGAATGGATATGTTTAGTTTTGTTAATAAAGTAAAAAAGTTATTAATCACAAATCATACATTCACACGCTGAGATTATTAAAATAAAACTAAACATTTTTTTAAACATGTCAAACAAAGACATCAATATTTCTATGCATGTCATGAAATTGATGTATATGAATTCTGTCATTTTTCAATTGACCTTTTGACACCGGCAAAAAAACAATTCTGAATGTATAAAAGTTTTTACATTTTTTCCCTTGGTTAAGCAATGTACATGGTTCAAAAACACAATTATTAACTTGCAGACCCCTCCCCCCAAAAAATATCTGTGAAGATTTGTTCACCATTTGAATGAAACTCAAATGTATTATTTTCTCTCAATTAATTAATCAACCAGCTAAAACGACTAACAAAAAAAAAAAAAGTCATTATTTAACAACCTTGATCCCTGCTTTTTTAAAGCATTATTAACAGTCTTACTCTTTTAGTTGAAAATGTACCACTGATGGGAGAATAGAACTGAAATTTCAGAGAAATGCAGATTTTAAAAAAAGTTATTCTTTTTTTGTCATTTATCACTGCTCTTCAACTGCAAAAATGTCATCACCTGACCGACAAATAACGGACTTCAATGAAGATATTATTTTTCTTAACATTCTTCACTTGTGCAATTTCTTTTTTTTCATGATGCTGTCAATATTTTAAAATAAGTTGTATAAGACGAGTACATGATATTTCTCAACAGAATTGATATTTCCAACATGGGAGTTGATCGGTAATGAATTGTTTTTTGGGGTTCACCCTGTCCTTAATTGTCAAAAAGTACTTTTTTTTAAGTTGTTACAGGGTTTGTCATTTTATGTTCAGAAAAAAAACAGAAATAGCCGTTCTTTACTATGACATTAACTTTCAACTTTAAAAGTCAATAAAAAAAGAAAAGAAAAAAAAAGTCTGCATTCCCTTTTTTTCCCCTATATTCCAAAAACATTCAATCACTAGTGAATCAATTAGTAGTGTCATTATCCTTTTTTATTTTTTTAAATAAAAAATAATGAACCCCCCGCAAAAAAAAAAAAACAAACTATTTTCAGAAAATATAATTAAAAAAGAATTTAGAAAACCAGTCAGTCATGAAATAAAAAAAACAATTCTTTTTTTTTATAGAATAATCTAGATTAGTTTTTTAGCTACTAAAAATAAAACTTTTAGTCACCTGTCAACATTACGGTCTATTTACTAATTTACATATTATGTAATTATGACTTATTTAATTTAAATATGTTATTTTTTTTATTTAAATAATTTTTTTTTTTTTTTGCTAGAACTTTTTCCTACCCACCAAACTAAAGTTATGTCTTATTTTTTTACCATAAAAGAAAGGAAGTATTTCAAAAAGTTTTCCCCTCAAGTAGTAATGTGAACAAAAAAGTATTCATTCAATATTTTTTTGAGTCAAGTGCAAGTGTCATCTAGTGACCTAGTCTTTTGATTGACAGAACTTCGACAAAGTGGGTAATTTTGAAAATTAGGTAAGAAAAATGGGTCAGCAAGGAGTTTTTCAGATTTTCTTCTTATATAAGTAAGACTTAGTTTTGTTTTATTTGCAAAGATCTACAATATTGTCACTAAGATTAAAAAAAAAAAAAAAAAGGTAAGAATTTTAAATCTCTTGCTTGCATCTTCTTTACTTCTTAGACTAAGTAACTTAAACTACTTAACTTAGTCATTACAGGCCATTGGTAAAAAAAAAAAAAAGAGAATATAGTTTACTCACGCGGCGAGCATTCTTAGTACCCCCCCAATTACTTACGTGTTTTTACACAATATTTTACTTAGTCGCTTTTAGCGTAAAGAAAAAAACCATAGTTTTTATACTGTTTTTTTTTGGTTTTGTTTTTTTTCTTAAGGGGCATACTTTTTTAGTTTTTATAAATTACAAAAGAGTCGGTTTTATTTTATTTTATTTTATTTATTTTTTTCCCACCGGCTCATGAAGCAAAGTAAAAAAACTAAAAAGAAAAAGATCTTTGGAGTCTAATTTTGAAATTTTTTTTCTGGTCTTAAATTTCTAAGAGAATTTCTCTTGACTTTTTTTTTTTTTTTTAAGGTAAAAAGGTCAGTAAAGAACTTAATAGACCTTTAAAAAAAAAAAAAAAGAACTTTCAGATTTATGAAAATTTAATAAACATTTTTTTTATTTTTCATAAGCACATTTTAAAAATTATAGAAATTTTTACACATACACGTCTTTGAGACATTAGAATTACTATCAGTATTTTCAGAAAACTTACTGAGTGCAGTAGACAAACAATAGGATTAGAGAGTCTTCTGAGAGGATTTTCATAAGATATATTTCTGTTCGTTTAATTTCATCATTATATACCATCACTGGGTATATATATCTTCCCTGACATTATGACTAAAAAGATAAAGTTACTATTTGTAATATGAGTCAAGGTAAAGTAAAAAAAAAAAAAATATAAACGTAATTAATTTATTTAATCTATAACTACGTAGTCTTTGCATGTGCTTAGCTTTTGTCACGAAGTTAGATGTTTCGGTATAATAAATGTGGCCATGACTAAGATAAAAAAAGCATGAAAATGAACAGACACGATAGTGCGGACTTTTTACGCATATGGTAAATCATTTGAATAAAATTGGGTACGAATTCATTTTTAATCAAATCTTAAGTAACTGATGTATTTGTTTAGCTTTCAAAAACAAGAATAGAAACAAACAGAATCTAACATTCTTAACGAGAAACAAAGAAAAATGAAGAGAAAAAAAGATTGTCACCATAACACACAAGGAGAAAAACAAAATCACTGTTGGATATGTTATTATTGTGAAATTATACCAATTAAAACACGTACTTTCTGTTTAGCCGTTTGGAGCCAACTGCCGATCCAACCACTTAAGCTCTGCTCGCTGCAATAGAGGAAAAGCATAATAAGAGTTAATATACAAAGACCAATATACAAATCAACTGAAATCACGCTAAAAAAATTCAAACCAACAAAAAATTATAGGAATTTTATTTAAATAAAAAAAAAACTCACCCTTCCGCCATGTTTGTTTACAAAAAGATGATAGCAGTTTTACACAACAAGTGGTGCAATTATTCAAATTGAGAATAAAAGATAAACTCCTGGGCCTTATTTTAATTTGTGTTTAAGATGGAATAGTGTCTTCCGGCCGCATCTTTGAAGGCCACAATATCAACAAACTGGTCTGATTATTATTAATTCAAGCAAGAAAACACGAGGTAAGTGTGATCGTCACAATTTTGATTACAGTGGCAAGTTATTAAAAAGGGAAATAACTAAAGCGAGCAAGAATTAATTCCTTGAACATGTTATATATATATATATATATATATATATATATATATATATAAAAAAAACAACTCAGACACCTATCCAAATACGTAAAAATGACTAAACTGAAAAGACCAGTAGTATTTTGTCAAAAAGTGCGCAATAGATGAAAAAAACGCCGATATTCAATAAATGTAAAATGGACTTATTTCATTTGAGTTTGTCCAAGAGGTTTTTTTGTGTCACTTCACTCATTTAGGGTCAGATGGTCATTCAGTTAACTGATTTTTACTGAATAGAGAGGGTTGGAAAAGTTTGTAATGTTTTTTAAGTGAATTTTAAAGACTATGTTTTTAAATATTTGTACAGCTAACCACGTATATGTGCCATTTTTTCCACTATCTATTCAAATTCATCACCTTTGAAGCAACTTCATGATTCTATTCTCCCAGAATTCGACACCTTTTCAGGTGATGAACTGTAAAAGATTTTTCCCATGGAAAGAATGGGAGAAGAAGAACGTCGTCACCTCTCTTTTCCCAAATATTAAAAAAAAAGTGCATACCAAACAAGACTTGAAACTATTATGTGAAATTTGAAAGGAACAAACATAGACATTAAAAAAAACAAAATACAATTTTTGCAAAAAAGCAGAAATTTTCTTTTGTGCACTTTTAGTAAAGGCCAGATAACAGATCAAAATAAGTATGGAATTTAAAAGGTTTCATGTTGGTGTATATTGTAGGTGTGTGAATGTTCATATTTAAATAATTAAAGAAGAAGCATACAAAAACTCAGGTTTCTACTACGGACCGTTTATTTTAATTTGTTTGTATATAATCTGTTTTGAAACAAAGTTCTCAATGTCTCTTGGGTATGTCTATTTTCTTTTTGGTCCTGGAGTTAGGGTAAGTAAGTATAAGCATCGTTATAATGATTGTGTTCAAGTCAGCCTTGCACAGAGTTGGAACAACGAAAAAAAATTTTTTTTTCTTACTTCATTATTGGAAGTTTAAGCATGGTTTTAATGGTATGTCCTTTTTCATTTTCTTGGTCCAGAAGTTATGGTAAATAAGGATAAGAATTGTTTTAATGGTCGCGTTTCAGTTTTGAGCAGAGTTGGAATGACCAAAGAAAAGGTTGATTTATTTCATAGGTGGAGGTTTTGAAAAGTAGAAAGGGTGTTCAGTCATCAGTGGACCGAGTAAATGAATGTGCTCCAGCAGGGATGTAATTTCCATATAGATCTTAGATCAAGAAGGAGAAAGAGAGAAAGGAAAATGTTTGTCTTTTTATGGATTTAATAATCAGTGTTGCCTAACAGCATTTGACAAAACTAAGTGGAATAATAAAATTTCCAACTCCTTTATTACAAGCATCATGGAAACATGTATTTATTTTTCTTTGTTAATATTATTATTATTTTATTTATTGATTTTATTTCATTTTGCCATCTGAGAATTATAAGCATTTAAAAAGATATACTATACAAATTTCCAATAATTGAAAAAAAAAAACACTTGAAACTAATGCATAAACTTTAAATAAGGTGCAAAATACTCTTTAAAAAAGGTGCAAAAATTGAAAGGTGAAAAAACAGAAAAGCTTTGGCAAATTCACTTGTGTCACTAGGACTTTCAACAATTTTTCTTTTTTAGAATAGTTATATTCACTGGTTTCGCTTCTTTTTCCATTTGCTTCTTCTGTGAGAAACAACCCAGCTCATCCACTGGTGAGAGCCAGAAATAGCTATTTCTTCTGGAACCCTAATTTTATGCCTTCAGGAACAAAATTTTCATTACCTTCTAAAATTACCTGAAGGCAGAGAGTTCAACAAGCCTGTCGCAAGCCTAGCAGTGAACTGCCTGACTGCGATTTTACTGGTATTTACCAAACCTCCCCACAATGCAGGATGTGGCACAAGGCCGGTTTTTATGTGGGATGATTCCAAGCCTGTATGCTCAGGCAAAAATTCCCCACATAGACAGGCTCAGGTTTGTCTACATCCCCAGACGAGACTTTATCTGTAGGCATAACCTCATCTGGGTTCTTCTCTGCCTTCAGGCAGAGAGTTTAAGAAGCCTGTCCCGAGCCAGGATGCAAACTGCCTGACTGTGATTTTGCTACTCACGACTTCATACCATGGAACTCTTTATAATATCGGATGAGTTCATAGAGTTACCGGGGCTGTATTCTTTACTCCCCACCCTTTGAGATTACTACTTTATTAAATAAATATTTTTATTTCACATCAGTATCCCCCTGCTATCTTACTGGAGAGTTCACCAACGTACTTTAGTTTGTAGCGTTTACATCACAGATCCACTTCTAATTCTTCTGTACGTTTTCTTTTTCTTGAACTTGTTGGTTCTAGGATTTGTTTTGGTACTGGCACATCAACAATGTCATACAGCATTTTAACCAGTTCTTCAGTTCTTTCATCAGTTAATCTTTTCTTCAGCTGATTTTGGTGCCTTTTATGTTGGAACTTTTTCCCTTTCATCATGTAGACCAATTTTCCGATTCTAGCTGCGATTATGATGTCTTCCCATGTTTCCTTTCTAGCCTTGTATGCTCTAAAGAATACTTTATTGCTGACCATGAAAGTATTGATGTTGCTTTTATTACCCATTCGTGATTTTTGACTTGGCAATAAATTGTTGAACACCAATTTTACTCTTCTGGCAAACATTAATTCTACCGGCGACATGCCTGTTGATGTGTTGGAGTTAAGTGTTAACCAGTACAGTCTCAAAAAATTAGTTATGTTTGTTGGTTTAGGTATATTTCTAATTGCATTTGCCCTTGATGGATCTGGTTTTCTATCATTTTTATCACCTTGAATTTTGAACACTCATCTAGTTCATTAGACAGAACCTCAGGAAAACATTTTTAATTCTTCCTTCAGTTTTTCGCTGAGACTTTTTAAATTTGTTGTCTGTCCACTTACATTTTTACAATAAGCGTTTATCGGCAAATCCCACAGTTTGAATAATTTCATCCAGTCCATGCTGAATAGATTCGTCACATTTCTTAGAACATAACCTCTTGTTTACATCTGCTTATTTCGAAAATAAACATCACATGTTAATTCTCATAAAAAAGAAAATTCTCACCAGAAACTGAAGTTGCAACTTTGTAAGTCCTTTTTAATAAAGGTTTTCCAATTTCTTTCTATGTGGTTTCATTTTCTATTGACTAGACACTACCAGTATCTAGTAACTTTTTTACTCCTGCATTATTGATTTGCACTTTAACAAATTTTCTCTGTTTCGAGTGACTATTTTTTTCCGTCGCAATATTGTGTACTAATTTCTTCCTGTGAAAATTTTTTCTTAGTTTTGTTCTGCAGCATAATTTGACATGTCCTTTTTTAAAACAGTTATAGTGTTGTGTCCACTAAAATATCAAATACAATATTTATAAACCAATCACACTCAAGAAAACACTTACATCTTAAAACACACCAATAAAATCATAGAATACAAATCAGAATGTTTGTTGTATTAGTCATCATTATTTTTAGGTAGATACCGACCAAATATCGTATGGATGTAGTAGAAGACATACCACATGCCATTTTAGGGCCAATTAGGAATAAATAAATAATTTAATTCTGGAGCCGGTTTTGTTACAAAAAAGTGTATAAAAATATACAAAATCCGTTCCCAAACAGGATACATGCGGCTGTCACCAAACTCCATGCAACTCTTGCTTATAACCTTCACGACCTCATGCTAAACGTGACAACGTTGACAAACTTCAGACTATGGCAACACTGCCAACAGTAAGAAACAATTTCTAACAATCTCTTGTATCCGCTTTACTATGAATCATGCACACATGTGTTGACTTTTTCATACAAACATACATATCACAACATTTTATTGTTTCTCAAGACAGTTTAAATTTTATTTCAGAATTTTATTAGCCCAAACAAAAAGACATTACTTTTCAATCTATCATCAACAGCTTATATTCTTGGTGTTTAAATTAATGAATGTTTATTTGTTGAAATTACGTTGTCTTTTCTACTGAATTTTATTCCTTCAATGAAAATCATATGTAACCATATTTTGTTATTGTATCGAATACCAACACTCCAAGCTTTAACATTTAACGAAAAATCTTGTAGAAGGATTCCTACAATAGCATTCAGCATTTTTCCATGGGCAGTCTTTCTCAAGATGCAATTTTCTGCATCTGAAACAAGGTTTTATATTCCTTTTTGTGCATTTTTCCTTAGCTTTTACTAATGCACATTCTTTATTCTGAAATTTTTCAGAATAAAGCTTTAGACTTAGCATTGTTTGGCAATTGTCCCCTATTTCCTGTAGTGTTACGTTATTATTATGTTCAATCTTTGCTAAAAATTTTAATTATTACTTCAGCATCTTTTTCCGCTGTTAGACCTTGCTTGAAAATTAATGCCTTGAACATACCTGGAGTCATTTCATATAGTTTAAATTGTTCACATTCTCTATTGAAGGTACCTGCATACGTGACAAAATCTTCTTCCTCTTTTTTGGTTAAATTCATGCACCTCCAATGAGTATGAAACAAAGAGTTCTTGTGACTAAAAATTTTTGCGAGAATGTGTACTGTTTTCAAACCCTATTTCACCTGGTTTTCTCAGTAAAATATATCTGCAGTACTTTTTGTACTCTATTTGAGCTATTTTTCTTAACAACAACCTGTTTTGTTATCACCTTCTCAGCTGCTGCATTCCTGACTAAATATTTTTTCATGTCTG